TTGTAGCTCCCACCTCGGCCCATAGCTTGGCCCAATGTCTAAAAACAATGGTCTTAGCTCGACCCAATTTACTTACATAAATTACCCTCTCAATTGCCCCTTAATTCCATCTGTGAAGCATGATTGGGATTATTTTCTTCCAGCCGTGCTAAGATATTCAAACCACCCGAGCCAAAATGCTCAGGCCAACTGAGCTAAAATGAGCAAGCCAATCAATCTAAGATTTGCTCGATTTCTAGAAAAATGGGCTGATCGTACAGCCCGTCTTCTCACGCTTCTAACGTCGTGTCCTTACTAGGACACGTGGCACGCGTTGATTGTCCCCACTCACTGTGACAACCGTCACACACTACCCAAAAATGCGAAAAGACCCGCCGTTTTGCCTTTATTACATATATAGCCCTTTAGCCTCGAACAGTCACATTTATTATTCATTTTTTAGCCCCAAAACCCTCGCAATCACAGCACCAACCTTTCACTTGTTTGTACTCAAGCCCTCATATCATTGTCTTCATTATCAAATCAAACACGCTACTGTTGCCAGGACATCATTTGTTGATCAGCGTCACACTCTCCACTCAAAATTCGTAAGTTTCATGTTCTATCTAACACTTCGTATGATGCTCCATGTGTTCTTGGTTTTGTTAGTATTATAAACCTATCATAGTGATATTGCAATAACATTTGCAGTATTATCATGCACAAAAAAATGAGCTTAACACTACTTTCAAAACTTCACACCGTAAGAAGATCTCCCCCACAACTGGAACAGAGATCAAACAAGAACACTGACTTTAATCCAAAATGTTAAACAAACCGGACTAAAAATCTGTTCATAGCCCTGCACACGAGTACAACCGAACTAGGGATTCCTCATCAAACCGAGCTAAAAGCCCCTGTCCTAGACAAGACCGGAGTAAACCATAACCGTATGCAAATTTAGCCAAATTAGGAGCAACACCCTTCTCCTGACCAGGCTAAAACTGTGACGACCCCGACCTCCAAACTAGTACATTATATAGTTTTAATGAGTTTAATTGCATGATTATGTGCTCGATTGTGTGATTACATGCTTAATTCTATAATTATCTGTTGATATATGGAATATCTGTTTAATTTGACGACATAGAGTCGAAAATTGGGAGCCTAAACGGCTTCAAAAACTGAAATTGACTAGCCCAATAGGCTAATTGAAATATTTAAAATTTTATGGCAACTTTAATTGAAATTTGATTTGGACCAAAATAATTAGAATAAACTGATTAACTTAGTTAGAATTAGGTCTAATTAATTAATTCTAACCACATTTGATTAGGCTAACCTAATCACACCCTATATAAGACCCAAATTAAGCTTATGAACTCATTTTTGTGTACAAACTCAGCTGAGAATTGAGAGAGATGAGAGGAGAGTCCAACATTTAGTGAGAGAAAGAGGAGAATTGTAAAGATTTGGAGGGAGATTCAAAGATTGGAGCCATAACACACTTGAATTCAACACTAGGTATGGCATTCATCACTAATTCAGGTAGATAAGGCATGTAGTAGTTGAATTCCTCTCATCTTTAAAATCATTGGCATGTTATTGAAGAAAAGAAGCTATGAATATCAAGAAATGGAAGAATGGAGTTAAATAACTTACATGCATGCACATTTGAGTTGGAATTTCATGGAATTCATTCATGCATGGCACAATTATACATCATTTTAGAGAATCCATCATGTCTTCATGCCTCTCATGTCACTTGATCATATTTTGAACATGTTTTGGTGAAATGTATACTCAAATTGAGTTAGACATATTTTACAAGTTGAAATTGAAGTTAATGGTTGAGAAATTACCATGATTTTGAATACATGGGTTCAAATTGGAAGTGTTTTCATGTTACATAGTGACTCTCAGTGTTTTTATACCAAAAATGCACGATTTGAAGCTTTGAGTGCCATGTTTGAACTTCAAGCACAGTTCTGGAAATTCCAGAATTTGTGCTGTCCGCTTGAGCGGAGGAGTCCACGCTCAAGCGTGGAATTCGAGCTCCCAGAAGTCTCTGAAATTTTACAGTCCGCTCGAGCGACCATCGAGCGGGAATTTCACGTATCCAGTACTTTTGTAGGTCGCTTGAGCGACAGATGTCACACTCGAGCGACCACTTTTGTTTTTGAACCGCCGCTCAAGCATAAGAAGTTACGCTCGAGCGGAGACCCTGTTTTCAACAAAATTTTGTCAACTCTTTTAAGTGCACATTTTCATCCTCATGCCACTCCTAGTCTTCTTAGGCACTTTTTTGGACTCATAAAATCATACAATAAGTTAGAGAGGTATGAAGAGAATTGAATCAAAACGAATGAAGTTTCATTTGTACTTTGTTATGTGTTTCGTTTAGGTGGACGACCGAGGTGTAGTGACAACTCAAACCACTGTGAGTAATAACCTTATAAAGATATGTTCAAACTACTTTTATTTTCGAAAGCGTCATTATTATCAGAATCGATATATGAATGGGTTACTAAAACTCTAGTTCTTATAAATGAATGAAGTTCCCTTTTGAAAATGTATCATGACTCAACCATTGACCCTTACCTGGGGGAGATTAATACAATGGCATATTGACCCTTGCCTGGGGAGATTAATACCATGGCATATTGACCCTTGTCTAGGAGAGATTAATACCATGGCATATTGACCCTTGCTTGGAGGAGATTAATACCATGGCATATTGACCCTTTCCTGGGGGAGATTAATACCATGGCGCATTGACCCTTGCTTGGGGGAGATTAATACCATGGCCCATTGGCCCTCGCCCGGGGGAAACAATACCGTGGCCCATTGGATAATTGGATATGATATTTTGATTAGCCCTCGAGGTTATATTGGTATAACAACATTGTTATTCTATCGAATGTAATACATGTTAGTTTGAATGGGTATCGATATTAAAATTTGTTATTCGTAATATTGTCGAACTTCATTCATAAAACCTCATTATTCTGTTATTACTCATTAGGCATTAGCTCACTAATTATTTATATATGTAAATGTAGGTGGGCAAGCTGAACATCAGAGTTAGATAGCCTCGAGTCTACCCAAGTCATCCTTTTGTGGAGTTTCCAAGCGAAGTAATCTGGCTCGAGAGGAGCCATGCTTGTCTAACCCCCCCTCCTTTGTGTAGTTATTGGTTTTGCATTTGTACATAGTTGGGGTTACGTTTTGTAAAACATGATTTGTACTTGTGTTACGTGGCTTGTACTTTTGATGAAGGTGTATTTTGAAACGAAATCTAGCTTAACCTTTATGCTCACCTCATATATGCACGGCTCAATGGATAAAACTCTTCGACTTTTAGACTTCCGCTAAGCCCTGTACTATATAGGAAGGGTTTATTTGTATGGAGGCCGTAGGTAATCTATGATTACTGGCCGGTCGTGATTCTAAACCTCTAGAGGCGGGTTTGGGTCATGACAGAGTGGTATCAGAGCACGAGTTATATCTCACTCACTTGTCCATTGAGCTATAGAGGGTCTAAAAGAGACTTCAGGAATGCATTCATGTGCATTGATATGTTAAGTAAGATAACCATGTGATAGTATATGAAATTGCGTACATGACCATGTGTATCTCTATATATATGTTGTGTTTGTTATAATACAAAATTTCATACAGAAAATGGTGAGAACCAGAGGTGATGAAATAGATGAGGCAACCTCCTCAAGACTGGATAGAATGGAACGGATGATGCAAGACATGGCTGAAGCCATAAGACAACAACAGTAATGACATCAACAACAACTACAACAACCACCTCCCCTACCTCAAATGCCTGTACCACCTCCAGCTCCGGGGTGTCAGCCAAAGACCTGCACTATTGCCTTGACTAGAGAATTTAAGAAGATAAAGCCACCAGTGTTTCATGGTAGAATTGAACCGTTGAAGGCCGAAGCTTGGGTATTGGGAATTGAGAAATTGTTTGAAGTATTTCCATGTACCGAAGCACAGAAGGTGCAACTAGCTACATTCATATTGGAAGACGATGCAAGGCGTTGGTGGATGTTGGTTTCAGAACGATAATAAGGATGCTACTTGGACCCGTTTTCTGGAAGTCTTCTATGAAAATATTTTCCACAATGTGTGTAGGATAGAAAAGTAGCTGAATTTATGGAACTGAAGCAGGGAAACAAATCAATTGCTGAGCATGAGGCTCAATTCACAGAATTAGCCCGTTTCACCCCCCACAAGGTAGACACAGATTACAAGAAGGCTAGACAGTTTAAAGGAGGGCTACGTGACCCAATTCTAGATAAAATTAATGTACTCAAATTGTCGAATTATGTGGATGTACTTGACAGGGCACTAATAGCGGAAAGGAATGTGACCAACCGAAAGCAAAACTTTGAATGAAAGGGCAGAAAATAGAATTTTAACAAGGGGACCACATCAGTGAGCAAGAAGTTCAAGTCGGGGAGTTCTAGTAATACCGGTTCAAGCCAAAGTGATAACTCAACACCAGCTTATACTACATGCGGAAAGAAACATGAAGGTGTATGCTATTGCACGATGAGGGCTTGTTACCAATGTGGGAAGATAGGACATATGGCAAAGGATTGCACACAATCACTACCAAATGGCAACCAATGAGCCATAAGCTCAATTGGATCCGCACCCACGACGAAACCAGCCACAACACCGTCTACCACAAGGAATGAACAAAGGCAAGGAAGGGTTTTTGCACTAGTCCTGGGAGATACTCAAAATACTGAGGCAGTAGTGTCAGGTACAATCTCCATTTGTGGTAACCTGCTTATACTTTAATTGATTCCGGGTCTACACATTCGTTCTTTTTTATGGCTTTTGCTAAAACTTTGAATAGACCTATGGAAACATTGAATTATATACTATGTATTGCATCACATACGAGGGGATCCATGTTATGTTCCATTGTATTTATTACGTATGAATTATTTCTTGGGAATGCTACTCTGTATGCTGATTTAATACCTTTAGACATGGGACATTTTGATGTTGTTTTGGGTATGGATTGGCTAGCTAAATATCATGCAACAATTGGTTGTGCCTTGAAACGAGTAATATTCCGACCTCCCAGGCAAGAGGAATTTTATTTTGAGGGAAAAGGGGTAGTCTCACCACCATACCTTATATCTGCCATGAAAGCTCAAAAACTAATGAATAAGGGTTGTCAAGGGTATTTGTGTAGTGTGATAACCGAACCAACGGTAGACACTACTTTAGACAATATACCGGTGGTGAGAGATTTTCCCGATGTGTTTCCAGATGATTTACCTGGCCAACTTGTTGATAGAGAAATCAAATTCACAATTGATGTAATACCAGGAACTCAACCAATTTCTAAAACTCCCTACCGTATGTCTACCACTGAAATAAAAGAATTAAAAATTCAGTTGCAGAAATTGCTAGATAAAAGGTTTATCAGACCAAGTACATCCACATGGGGCACACCGGTACTTTTCATTAAAAAGAATGACGGCACTCTCCGATTGTGCATTGATTATCGAGAGCTCAACAAGGTAACAGTGAAAAATAAATACCCTTTGCCACGTATTGATGATTTGTTTGACCAATTGTAGGGGGCACAGATATTTTCGAAGATTGATTTAAGATCAGGATATCATCAATTGAAGGTTAAGGCCGAGGATGTTGAAAAGACTGCTTTCCGAACCACGTATGGACATTATGAGTTTTTAGTCATGCCATTTGGGGTTACAAATGCACTTGCAACATTTATGGATTTAATGAATAGAATTTTCAAACCTTTCCTAGATGACTTTGTTGTTGTATTCATTGATGACATCTTAATCTATTCGAAAAGTAAAATGGAGCATAAACGACATTTGAAACTGACTCTTCAAACTCTTAGAGAAAAACAGTTGTACGAGAAATTCAAAAAGTGTGAATTCTGGCTTGATGAAATTGCATTTTTGGGGCACATTATTAATAAGGATGGTATATCTGTGGATCCTCATAAAATTGAAGCTATTATTAACTGACCTGCTCCAACTAATGTATCAAAAGTTTGTAGTTTTATGGGATTGGCAGGGTATTAACAAAGATTCGTTAAAGATTTTTCCAAAATTGCTGCGCCATTGACTCAGTTGACTCGAGAAGGGGAAATATTTGAGTGGACAGATCAGAGGCAAACAGCCTTTCAAGAGTTGAAGACAAGACTGACTACAACCCCAATCCTCACTATTCCCTCAGGTACTGAAAATTTTGTGATTTTTAGTGATACATCCTATAAGGGCTTGGGTTGTGTTTTAATGCAGAATGGCAAGGTTGTTGCGTATACCTCTCGACAGTTGAGACCCCATGAAAAGAATTACCTACACATGACTTAGAACTTGCTGCAGTTGTGTTTGCATTAAAAATATGGCGACACTATTTGTATGGGGTCAAATGTGAAGTACATACAGATCATAAGAGTTTGAAATACTTTTTTACACAGAAGGAATTGAACATGCGTCAAAGGCGATAGCCTGAATTAATTAAAGATTATGACTTACAGATTAACTATCATCTGAGCAAAGCTAATACTGTAGCTGATGCACTTAGTAGAAAGAATGTGGGGAATCTTGCATGTTTACTCATAGGTCAAAGAGAGCTATTGCTGGAGTTTGAAAAACTCGAAATTGAAGTGGTGCCTTTTGAACCAAATGGCTTGATAGCCGCCATATTTGCCCAACCCGTTATTATTGAAGAACTTAAACAGAAACAGTTGGATGATGAGTTTTTGAAGAAAATTTGTGATGAGCTTGACACCAAGCCTAAACTAGGGTTCATAATTGAAGGCTCCGTGTTGAAATATCAGGGGAGATTGTGTGATCCAAATGATGTGGATTTGAAAAGGAAAATTTTGGAAGAAGCTCACAAGTCCATGTTTACTATGCATCCAGGAAATACCAAAATGTACCAAGACCTCAAAGTTAGTGTATTAGTGGCCCAACATGAAAAGGGAAATTGCCGACTTCAACTCTAAATGCTTACAATGCCAACAGGTAAAAGCAGAACATCAGAAACCAGCAGGTTTGCTTCAATCTCTCCCTATTCCAAAATGGAAATGGGAACATATCACCATGACTTTGTTGTTGGCCTACCTCGGACACCTAGAGGTATGGACTCTATTTGGGTTATAGTTGATAGATTGACTAAATCTACTCACTTTCTTACTGTAAAGACTTCATTTACTGCTTATAGACTTGCCACTATCTTCATTGATGAGATTATTTGACTGCATGGGGTTCCAGTATCTATTGTATCAAATAGGGATCCTAAATTTGTTTCTATATTTTGGCATAGTTTACAAGAGGCAATGGGAACAGAATTGAGATTTAGTACAACATTTCATCCACAAACTGATGGGCAAACCGAGAGAACTATTCAAACCTTAGAAGACATGTTTTGTATGTGTGTATTGGATTTTCAAGGAAGTTGGGAAACTTATTTGCCGTTAGCCGAATTTGCTTATAATAATAGTTTTCACGCGAGCATCGGTATGGTACCATATGAGGCACTATATGGCAGAAAGTGTAGATTGCCAGTTTGTTAGACAGAAGTTAGTGATAGAGCTATTTATGGGACTGAACTTGTGCAAGAAATGACTGAAAAAATCAAAATCATTCAGCAAAGGCTCAAAACTGCACAGAGCCGACAGAAAAGCTATGTAGATCAACGAATAAGGGACTTAGAGTATGAAGTGGGAGATCATATATTCATCAAGGTGACCCCAATGAAAGGGCATATGAGGTTTGGCGAAAAGGGAAAACTGACTCCTCGCTACATTGGACCGTTTCAAATCCTTGAGAGGTTGGATCCTATTGCTTATCGTATTGCCCTGCCACCGGGAATGGAACAAGTGCATAACGTTTTCTATGTATCCATGCTTTATGGGTATCTTAGAGATCCGTTCCATGTGATTGATTACCACCGGATTGCTCTAGATGAGGATATGATGTATGAAGAATGGCCCGTGCAAATCATTGACCGACAAATGAAGCAATTGAGAAACAAAACTATTCTTAGGGTAAAGGTCGAATGGAGAGAACACTATGGGAAGGAGGCCACTTGGGAGAAAGAAGAAGAGATGCAGCAACGATATTCGTATTTGTTTCCATCAAAAGGTAACTTAAGTTTGGAGGACCAAACTTTCTAAGGAGGAGAGACTGTGACGACCCCGAGCTCCAAACTAGTACATTATATAGTTTTAATGAGTTTAATTGCATGATTATGTGCTTGATTTTGTGATTACATGTTTAATTCTATAATTATCTGTTGATATATAGAATATCTGTTTAATTTGACGACATAGAGTCGAAAATTGGGAGCCTAAACAGCTTCAGAAACTGAAATTGACTAGCACAATCGGCTAATTGGAATATTTAGAATTTTATGACAACTTTAATTAAAATTTGATTTGGACCAAAATAATTAGAATAAACTGATTGACTTAGTTAGAATTAAGTCTAATTAATTAATCCTAACCACCTTTGATTAGGCCAACCTAATCACACCCTATACAAGATCCAAATTAAGCTTATGAACTCATTTTTGTGTACACACTCAGCTGAGAATTGAGAGAGAGGAGAGAAGAGTTCAACATTTAGAGAGAGAAAGAGGAGAATTGTAGAGATTTAGAAGGAGATTCAAAGATTTGAGCCATTACACACTTGAATTCAACACTAGGTATGGCATTCATCACTAATTCAGGTAGAGGCATGTAGTAGTTGAATTCCTCTCATCTTTAAACTCATTAGGATGTTATTGAGGAAAAGAAGCTATGAATATCAAGAAATGGAAGAATGGAGTTGAATAGCTTACATGGATGCATATTTAAGTTGGAATTTCATGGAATTCATTCATGCATGGCACAATTATACATCATTTTAGAGAATCCATCATGTCTTCATGCCTCTCGTGTCACTTGATCATATTTTGAACATGTTTTGGTGATATGTATACTCACATTGAGTTAGACTTATTTTACAAGTTGAAATTGAAGTTAATGGTTGAGAAATTACCATGATTTTGAATAAATGGGTTCAAATTGGAAGTGTTTTCATGTTACATAGTGACTCTCCATGTTTTTATACCAAAAATGCACGATTTGAAGCTTTGAGTGCCATGTTTGAACTTCAAGCACAGTTCTGGAAATTATAGAATTCATGTTGTCCGCTCGAGCGGGGGAGTCCACGCTCGAGCGTGGAATTCGAGCTCCCAGAAGTCTCTGAAATTTTACAGTCCACTCGAGCAACCAAAGTGTCGCTCAAGCGAGGACCCTTTTTCTCAATTTTCCGCTCGAGTGACCATCGAGCGGGAATTTCACGTATCCAGTACTTTTGCAGGTCGCTCGAGCGACGGATGTCATGCTCGAGCGACCACCTTTGTTTTTGAACCCCTGCTTAAGCGTAGGAAGTTACGCTCGAGAGGAGACCCTGTTTTCAACAAAATTTTATCAACTCTTTTAAGTGCACATTTGCATCCTCATGCCACTCCTAGCCTTCTTAGGCACCTTTTTGGACTCATATAATCATACAATAAGTTAGAGAGGTATGAAGAGAATTGAATCAAAACGAATAGAGTTTCATTTGTACTTTGTTATGTGTTTCGTTTAGGTGGACGACCGAGGTGTAGTGACAACTCAAACCACTGTGAGTAATAACCTTATAAAGATATGTTCAAATTACTTTTATTTTCGAAAGTGTCATTATTATCGGAATCGATATATGAATGGATTACTGAAACTCTAGTTCTTATAAATGAATGAAGTTCTCTTTTGAAAATGTATTCATGACTCAACCATTGACCCTTGCCTGGGGGAGATTAATACCATGGCATATTGACCCTTGCCTGGGGGAGATTAATACCATGGCATATTGACCCTTGCCTAGGGGACATTAATACCATGGCAGATTGACCCTTGCCTGGGAGAGATTAATACCATGGCACATTGACCCTTGCTCGAGGGAAACAATATCGTGGCCCATTGGATAATTGGATATGATATTTTGATTGGCCCTCGAGGTTCTATTAGTGTAACAACATTGTTATTCTATCAAATGTAATACATGTTAGTTTGAATGGGTATTGACGTAAAAATTTGTTATTCGTAATATTGTCGAACTTCATTCATAAAACTTCTTTATTCTGTTATTACTCATTGGGCATTAGCTTACTAATTATTTATATATATAAATGTAGGTGGGCAAGCTAAACATCAGAGTTAGATAGCCTCGAGTCTACCCAAGTCAGCCTTTTGTGGAGTTTCCAAGCGAAGTAATATGGCTCAAGAGGAGCCATGCTTGTCTAACCCTCCCCCCCCTCCCTTTTGTGTAGTTATTGGTTTTGCATTTGTACATAGTTTGGGTTACATTTTGTAAAACATGATTTGTACTTGTGTTACATGTCTTGTACTTTTGATGAAGGTATATTTTGAAACGAAATCTGGCTTAATCTTTATGCTCACCTCATATATGCACGGCTTAATGGATAAAATTCTTCCACTTTTAGACTTCTGTTATGCCCCATACTATATAGGAAGAGTTTATTTGTATGGAGGCCATAGGTAATCTATGATTACTGGTCGGTCGTGACGCTAAACCTATACAGGCGGGTTTGGGTCATGACAAAAACCTGGCCCTAAGTCAAGGCCGGGCCAAACCCTGGCCCCTTCTTTAGCCGAGCTACACATCGCACACACTCTCTTGGCCGAGCAAACTATAAACTAATTTGCACTGTTATCTTAGCCCAGTTACCACCTAGCCATAACACATTCTATATGCTTCATTGTGCAGACTTGACTAGGTCATTCAAGCACACCATTCACTTGCCCCTCGGTGACGCCGCTCGACCAAGCACTGTCTTGATCACTTCAGCGCCAAGCTAAGGAGCCGAACCAAATTTTATTTTTTAACTTAATTTTAGGCCATGGGCAAATACTGATTTATGGTGAGCTCGCCAGGGGCCATGGCTGAATTCCACAGGGACTACAACATTCCAGATGTTGTCTATCTCTCCCTGGTCGAGCTAGACACCATTTCCTAGGGCAAGCCAGGATTCGTTCCCTTCTCTGTGCTGTCAAACACAAACGGTGGACTTCAGTTCCCAGTCTAACCCCTTATCTGCGAGTTCCTTAGACAGACCAGATTATGCCCCACCTAATTATCCACCAACACCTATAGGATTATAAACTGAATCACCGAGCTAAATCACCATCTTCGCCTCAACCTTGGATTGGCCGAGCTCTTTCACCAATACTCGCTCGGTCAAAATGATGACGGTTGGGTTCATTACCTCATAATCAGAAAGGGCCGAGAAAAAATCATTAAGTGCACACCAAACAAATACCTAAACGATGACGATTTTCTTTGGGTGTCTGGCAATTTTGAAAACCAAGACGCCCAAATACCAGGTTATAACATTAACTGGAATAAAGGGACACCTAGTGAGAATAACTCGGCTCTTCTATCTAAACTACAAACTTGCATCTCTACTCAACCGTACTAACACTTGCACTTTTTGCAGATATAAACCAGTTAAAGGCTGATTACACTTACGCCAACCAAGCCGCACTACACGCCACGCTACGGTACTGCCACTGAGATTGGACCGAGCTATTGGGCGTCGAACCGACCTATCGCTACAGTGGCAAGAGAAAGAGCAAAGTGACCGATTTTTTGCTTAAGTCCTGGCCTGAACCTGACCCCAACCTCCCTCAAATCAATCTCATTCCCCTTACAAAAGAACAAGAAATGGCCAAAAGGCGAGTTATTTGTGCCCTTATCACTGAGCAAGCTTTTACTTCGAACGACGAAGTTCAGATCGAGCTACCCCCAACCAGCCAACCACGTAAGACCATCGTTTCTCTCCCATCCACTAAGGCAAACCTCATCTCTTCCCAACAAAAGGCCTCGCACATTAGCGCCTCAAGCCCTGAGACAAAGGTGCCGGCAATCCATTCCTCACAAGAAGGCCGTTGCTCTG